TCATGGGGATGTTGCTGCCCTTCACCTATCGAGAGATCTTGCAATTTTACTCCTGTCCCAAACGCTACTTGGTAGATTTGGAAAACTGGTCACAAGTTTTGCTAATGGTACTGACTCTTGCACTGCTGTGCGGCGCAGGACGGCAAATCGGAGTCATGGTTATCCTGCTGTCCACCTGGGAGCTAATGACTCTGATAAGCCATCATTTGTTTCCGTCCACTTGTATCGAAATGTTTCGAACTGTCTTCTTCAATTTTGTTCGGTTTTTCTTCCCGTATCTGATTCTGATCGTCGCATTCACTCTAGCTTTCTACATGCTCTTGAGGAATGACGATTTCTCCAATCCCGGTCTTTCGCTTTTCAAAACCATCATTATGTTCACCGGCGAGTTTGACGCCAAAGGCATTTTTTTTTCTGCGTATCCTGTTTGGAGCCGCATTGTGCTCGTGCTGTTCATCTTTTACATAGTCATCGTGCTGTTTAATTTGCTTAACGGTTTGGCAATCAGCAACATTGCCGAGATTCTGAATAAGGCCGAGATTATCGGACTAATCTCCCGGGTACGCCTGATCGCTTGTTTCGAAAGAATGACAGTCGGGAAACCGTTCTGCTGGAATTCTAAATGGACGTGGTCGAATCCTTTTAATTTCTTTTCCAACAAGATTCTTCTCTTTCCACATTACCTCAAATGCGGTAAAATAAGTTTCAAACCTTACAATGATAATCTGATTGTTTATGATGGCGATAACGTTGATGGCTATTCCATGGATTGGTCCACTTTGAAAATGGATCCTAACATAGTCAAACATGCTAAGCAGGTTGTCTACGATAAAAATGAACTATCGAATGATGATATAATGAATGAACTTGCTAAGTTGCAAACAAGATTGACACAGATAAAAATTACTTTGAGATGTGAAGATGATGCTGAAGAAAACATTATTTAAAATTAAATTTGAGAGGCTTTCTTAAGTAAGTGTTGAGTAATAAAATGCATGTAAAATTGAAAGATTATATAAAAAATATAATAGTATTTTTTAATCAATATGTAGAAATTGAGTGATAGAATAAAATGAAAAGGAATGCACCCTTTCTTCTTAAGGTGACCGTAACTCGATTAGATTTAATTTGTCGACAATTGATTGATTTATCGAACAATACCTGTGTTATATTTTGTTCACGTAAGTAGAAATTAATTTTATTATTAATTAGTAAATATAACCAAAGTGCCAGTGTCTGGCGAAGACATGAAAGAGCATGCATATAATATCCATCCCAGAAAAATTTTTGTATATGTAATTATATATAAAATATGTGTATTTATGCATGTTTTCTTTCTCTTGTATATAGTATATAAATATACATATTTATATATTGTTGCGATCGTGACGCATAGATGTGCGCCAGGCTAGTGAACCGAAGATCCGGGTTCAAATCCGGCCAAGAATCGCCGATTTTTTATTCGATCGCCACCTCTTGGAACTCGGAAGGCAAACCACTGAAGAGTATTTTGTTATACAGCGCTAAAAAATGGGCAAAATATGATATGGTGATCAATATGATATGATCCAATTAAAGACTTCTGGTTTTGTGTACTCATTAGTCAAATAATATTTGCAAGCTTTAGTACCTATACTTTAAAAATAATGTAGAATTGGTTCTCTTACATTTATTGGCCATATGTCTTATATATATATAATATGATATAAGACATTGGCCTGTAAATATAAAAAATCAATTCTACATTATTTTTGTTCTGTGCTTCCGTGAACTGAGTGTCCTTGTATTGGAAAAAGAAAACGGGCAATTTTTCATACTTAATAATATTGAAATATTCCAGTGATTATAAACGCGCGATATATATATACATACATACATTATACATATATATATATATTGCAGATGTTTTGGCACGGACGCCGTAGACCCACGTATACAGGTAGAGGGTTAATAAAATGTACGAATAAGCGTGTATAATCCATGTGATTCAACGGCGAAAGGTAATCCAACGTTTTATACGCACTATATTCAAAACTGCTAAACGCGCGCTTCTTTTAATGCTTATTGTTATTGTTAATTGTTAGTCGTGTGCGTAGCAGAACGGCGCACAACGATGGCCTGTTTCTTCTCGTGCGCTTATCGAAATTTTCGGAGAACCGAATGCTTCATCTCTTTTACATATATGTGTTTTTGTGCAAAACATTATACACTTAAAAAATAGAGGCAGAAGAAAAGATCATACATAATATCCAAGAAAGCAGTAAAAAATCAAAATTTTATTTATATTGAGTACATTTTGAGTATATTAAGACAATAAGTAATATATCGTAAAATGTATAATTTTCAGAAATAAATTAATTCGATAACAACATTGTATTAAAGACAAAATTAGATTAAGATAGGCGAAATCTGCAGCAGCAGTTTACGTGATATATATTTTTTCTCTTATTTATCCCACATCTCCGCTTATCACTCGCTTTGTTTGCTTTCACGCTCAGTCGCTCAACTTGCGTATCACTCGCACAGAGTCTTCCACAAGTGGTGAAAGGATTGCGTAGAATTACTGCTGAATAAAAAGTTATTTCATACAATTCTACATTAACTATAGAAGACGGAAAAACACATTTTAACAGATTTCTCAACTGCGATTTTAAGCAGAAAGAAGTACTAATAAGAGACATATAAAAGGAGACAAATTTGAAGATTCTACTGTGAGGAAAGATGTCGTCCGACGAAAGCAATTCTACTTTTTATAATATAAGTGAAAGTAATGTGGACTCAATAATTGATCTGGAATGGACTCATCAGTCGTGGTCCAGGACGGCTTCTTCTTCGTCATTTTCCTCTTCTTCTTCGTCATCTTCCATTGATTCTCATTTTTTCTATGTCTTGGCCCAATTATGCGAGGTTCGAAATACACCAGGTAATTGCAGTATGTATGCGTGTTGTGTGCGTGACGTGTATGCGTGTGCTCGCACCTACGCATGCATGAGCAAGGAGGAAAGTATTTTCGTTAAAAAAAAATTGTACATATAATACACATCAAATGTTCTGGCCCTGATAGATTACAAAAAATCCAAATAATTGTTCTTAGAAGAAATTAAATTGTGAAGGATTTACTGTCACTTTATTCAAATATCTTTGAAGACTTGCAAATAAAAGAGCAGACTCTTAAATTCTATCTTAACAATAGTGACGAGATTAAGTGCCTAAAAGTTATGAAAGAAGGATTCCATGCCAAGTTTATATCTCAGAGTCGCCAAAGAATTGCTATAAATATAGCCATGCGATGAAATTATTGCAAAATTAGTACATGCCCCATTTATATTGGCAGTGTCCCAATTTATGACAATCTCACTCGTCTTCTTTAATAAATCAGCTGATAAATACGGATCCAATATTAATTCTAAACATGTATTCAACATGTAAACAAAATCAATTTTGTATACTTTGTTTAACATTTATATTATTAATTTATTAATTTATTATTATGATAATTAAGGTTCCTTGGGCATTTGCAATATTCTAAGGAGGTCTATTGAAAGCCCAGAACGTTTGTCTATGATCCAAGAAAAGGCCCGTTTGTATGGTCATGACATCGTTTTTCGTGAAATACTTAACTTACGACCCAAAGTAAACGATAAAACGATTTTGAAAGCCTGCCGACTACTGGAAATATCGCCACTAGAAATCGACAATCAGTTGGAGTATATAAAGCTAATCCTGGGACGGAAATTTAGGGAAACCATGGATATTCGTTTCGTTGATGGTGATTATATACCGTTTGTCGCGTATCACACCTGCAACCCACGGATTCGGGAAATTATTTATTCTTATAGTTATGTTCGTTCCGTTGATGGTAATTATATACATATATTGGCAAGTATAATATAGTACAAACAATAAAAGAAATAGCATTCCTTAAAAAACAAATTTCTTACAAATATCTGAATTATGATTTCGTTTTTTAGACGCTTTAGCAGATTTGAATATTATCAAAAACCAGGCCCTTTTGTATGGTCGTGATATTATTTTTCGTGAACTACTTAACTCACGACCCAAAGTAACCGGTACGATGATTCTGGACGTCTGCCGATTACTGGAAATATCGCCACTAGAAATCGACAATCAGTTGGAGTATATAAAGCTGATCCTGGGACAGGGATTTAGGGAAACCATGGATGTTCGTTCCGTTGATGGTGATTATATACATATATCGACAAGTATAATAGTACAAACAATCAAAGAAATAGCATTTCTTAGAAAACGTAATTTTCTTACAAATATCTGAATTATGATTTTATCTTTTAGGCGCTTTTTCAAAAATTTGTACAGATATTCTGTATCAAAATTTTTTATTTTACAGATATAGGCAATACGGCGTTGCATTACGCTCTCGAAAAAAATTGGTACGAAGCTACAACTCTACTTCTCAAGCAAGGCAGTTACCTCGGTCAGGTGAACGAATCCAACAACATCGTTATCGCAAATATTCCAGAATTCATATTGTCTAACTATTTTAATGACTGTATTCAACTGAAGAAAGAATGGACGGACGAGTGTACGATCGAATTCGACTATCGTTGCTTGATGCCGCACGAAAATTTCACTGAACAGCAAGAAATTTCGCGAGCGACCTGTGAAATGGAAGTAATTTTGTATATCGCCAATAACGACACTCTGAAACATTTGTTGAGACATCCGTTAATCTCGTCCTTTCTCTACATTAAATGGTACATGATACGGCATGTTTTGTACGTAAATTTTGTTTTTTACACAATGTTTTATTTCTTCGTGAACGCCTACGTACTAAACATGACTTACGACATATCAAGTAGAAATACGACACAGCAAGTAGCTAACGATAGTTCCAATACGGTCTTCTTTGCAAGTACTTTCCTTACATTGCAAAACAATCTATCGTGGGTTTTCGTCATGGGGATGTTGCTGCCCTTCACCTATCGAGAGATCTTGCAATTTTACTCCTGTCCCAAACGCTACTTGGTAGATTTGGAAAACTGGTCACAAGTTTTGCTAATGGTACTGACTCTTGCACTGCTGTGCGGCGCAGGACGGCAAATCGGAGTCATGGTTATCCTGCTGTCCACCTGGGAGCTAATGACTCTGATAAGCCATCATTTGTTTCCGTCCACTTGTATCGAAATGTTTCGAACTGTCTTCTTCAATTTTGTTCGGTTTTTCTTCCCGTATCTGATTCTGATCGTCGCATTCACTCTAGCTTTCTACATGCTCTTGAGGAATGACGATTTCTCCAATCCCGGTCTTTCGCTTTTCAAAACCATCATTATGTTCACCGGCGAGTTTGACGCCAAAGGCATTTTTTTTTCTGCGTATCCTGTTTGGAGCCGCATTGTGCTCGTGCTGTTCATCTTTTACATAGTCATCGTGCTGTTTAATTTGCTTAACGGTTTGGCAATCAGCAACATTGCCGAGATTCTGAATAAGGCCGAGATTATCGGACTAATCTCCCGGGTACGCCTGATCGCTTGTTTCGAAAGAATGACAGTCGGGAAACCGTTCTGCTGGAATTCTAAATGGACGTGGTCGAATCCTTTTAATTTCTTTTCCAACAAGATTCTTCTCTTTCCACATTACCTCAAATGCGGTAAAATAAGTTTCAAACCTTACAATGATAATCTGATTGTTTATGATGGCGATAACGTTGATGGCTATTCCATGGATTGGTCCACTTTGAAAATGGATCCTAACATAGTCAAACATGCTAAGCAGGTTGTCTACGATAAAAATGAACTATCGAATGATGATATAATGAATGAACTTGCTAAGTTGCAAACAAGATTGACACAGATAAAAATTACTTTGAGATGTGAAGATGATGCTGAAGAAAACATTATTTAAAATTAAATTTGAGAGGCTTTCTTAAGTAAGTGTTGAGTAATAAAATGCATGTAAAATTGAAAGATTATATAAAAAATATAATAGTATTTTTTAATCAATATGTAGAAATTGAGTGATAGAATAAAATGAAAAGGAATGCAC